GTGTGCTCTTCCGATCTAAAAAAAGTTGACCAAATTACGCTATACTCCCCTACCTATATTTTTTACTTTTTCCAAAAAAAATTCAAGAAAATTGCCTATTTTTTGGCCTGTCTAACCAGACAGTATCCTTAAAATAAAATAATTAAAAAATTAATAGTTTTCAAAACATTTTATCTGTTATTCTGATAAACTTTAATATAAAATATATTTTATTTTTGAAACTTGCCTCAATATTTTTGCACAAAATAATAAAATGAATTAATTAATGTTAATAATTGATAATTAAAAAAAATATATAATTGGATATTTTACTATCTATGATGTGTATCTTATTGATCTTTAACTAGCTTTATATTCCAGTATAAAGGAGTAAATTAATTTTATAAAGCAACCAAACTATAATTAATTTAATTGATAATTAATTTAAATAATACCATCAAAATAATACCAAACAGTTTCAAAATATTTGAATATTTCTTCTGTAAAATTATGTTTTATGATCTTAGGTACCTTTTTTAAAAAATATGTATAACTAATTTAAAAAGAATTTATTATATAAGAAATGAACAGATTATAATTTGATCGTTCAATTTTAAACAATTATATTTTTATCAGCTTACGAGCAATCAAAATTGTAAAAAAGAAATGTTTATAATTCATATTTAAAATTTAAAAAAACTTTATAAAAAAAAGCGGTTAAAATGTAATTAATTATAAAAGAAAAGAAATAAAAGAAACTGTTTAAATTATTTTATGATATATCCTTGATTAGGAAAAAATATAAAGGTTTTGTCCTATAATTTCTCAATTGCATTATTCCTTTTAAAATAAACATTTTAATCAAAGTTGCTTATAATAATGCAATTAAAATTAGTTTTCATCTTGTTGAAAGATATATGACGGCTTTACTGAAGTCGCAGTCTCCATTCAAGGCTTCATCACTGTGCTTAGGTTATCCATATAAACAGTGTTGTAAGATACCTAGATATAAGTACCTAAGTACTCTAACTAGATACTGCAGCAGTACCTAAGCACCTTATCTAGGTTCTTATAGGCAGAGATACCTGCATAGTATAACTAGTAGGTCCACTCAGCGAAAAACTGAGTCTTCGTGCAGGTATCGCCGCGCAACTTTTATTTTGGGTTGGATCCAATGAAATGCAAGACGATAGAAACGTACATACATATGTGCAGACAATTTATAAGCAATTACATCAGAAATTTTCTTTAGTGGTTACTCCTACGAATAATTGTTACTAATAAAACATTTTATTCGATTCACACATTGAATTTATTGATTTACTATATCGAATCCAT